CATCAGAGGTGGGATTCTCCTGTTTCTCAACACAGATTGCTACTAATTAATGCATTTTGGATCCATCTTATGTTCTCAGATTGTCACTGTCAAAATCTTGTCCTTTTTTTATGTAGCATTTAATGTAGTTTTTGGTTTATTCATGGACATTATTTTAAGCCAATTCTGTCTTTAACATGCATGAAATAACGTGGCATCAATCTGGTTTCAAGCAATGCAAGTTATTCATATATATGCCAAACATTTTTCTATTTCTAGTCACAAGAGCTCCGACAAGGTTTTTTTGACAGAACCGAATTCGTATTCCATAATTGAGCATTTTTGTTTTTCCATTTCAAGTATTTTTGTCTTATTCGCATTTCATCAACTTGTGTTCTTTCTAAACAAAATAATAGTTTTTTAAGATATCTCCAGAATTCTTTCAACATAGAAACTCTTCATTTCACATGAGCCATAACAACAGATCAACAGTTAACAGTTCCTTACTTATACATATCAGTTGCAAAACATGATGAATTTATGTAAACTTTAAGAATGCTTTATACTTTAACTATGTTTTATTCACTTTTTTTTAACTGTTTGGCAGTGATCCAATGAAATGGAGAGTAATGGAAGATGAACTTTTGAACATCAGAGAATCTTCTTATCAGCCTAAACCGGTATTACGATGCTTTTCTCTTCTTGCTGCATATTTCTGAGCACTGACATATGAATATTTTTCTCATAAAAGAATGACTTTAACTCATTTGTTTCTTCTTTCTTTCTGTTTGTTTTATAAAAAGGAACTGAGGGATCTAAAGAGAAGCATTGAATCCAAGAAGAGGCAGTACAACAACACGGATCTTCAAAGTTCTTTGACTCAAGAGGTAAACAATTTGATCGATTTTTTTGTCTGATTATTGTTCAGCCATGGAGTAGGGTTGTCCTTGTTATCTGCATAAGTCCTGAATCAAAGCATGTAGTATTCTGTTATATAATATATTTTTTGTATCTCTGAAGATTATACAACTTCAAAAAGGATTACATCAACAACTTATGACGCGGCGTGCATTCGAGAAAACATGTTATCAACCATTTTCACAGGATACTACAGTAGAAAACTCAATACCTAAGGTTTCCTCTTAAATAGTTACATACATGGAATTGGAGTTCTTCTCTATTCTTCAAGGTTTTTACTGGTTCTTGCTTCTAACTGTCATTTTATATTCATCTCCAAATTTTAGGCTGCAAAGGAACTTATTAAGGAAATTGAGATGTTAGAGTTAGAAGTCAGGTATTTGGAACAATATCTGCTCTCTTTGTATCGGAAACGATTTGATGAACACATTTCATCTCTATCAACCAAAGAAAGAAGATTGGATTTAGCTTCATACATTAACAAAGATACTTCTGCAGTAAACGGAAATGATGCTATTCTTGACCAACAAAGAAGATTGGAATTAGCTTCACACATTAACAAGCAAACATCTGTAATACCTGTCAGTGGTGCTTTGTCTGACAAAGAAATTTCAGTTCGACACTCAAGTGATATCATTTCAACAAGTAATTTAGGTGTTTTAGACTCTGGTATTCATCGGTGTTACTCTGCGTTATCTCAACAAACAGTTTGCTCAATTGATGTTTCTCCTGAGAACATTAAGACCATACCTGCAGACTCTTACCATTCTCTACCGTTATCCATGCTAGAGGTAAGAATATTTAAAAAAAAAACAGAAGAGAACTTGTTACATTACTTCCTTAAATTTTATTTACAGACCTCTAATATCTAACTTCTAAATGTTATTTCACCAGCAAGCTCGGTGCGCTAAATCCAACTCAACTAGCCTAGCAGAACACCTTGGGAATAGCTTCATCGATAACGATCCAGAGACGCCAAATTGGATTTCTGAGGAGATGATCAAATGCATATCAGCAATATTTTGTGAACTTTCAGAGTCACCTGTTCTCTGTCATAAAAACGTGTCATCCCTTATTTCGTTCTCATCATCCGTATATGAGGAGGTATCTTCAAAGATCCAGAGCAGTAAGTGGGGATCACAATGGAAGAACCATTCGTTATTCAGTTTAAATTCCAGTAACTCTTTCCATGTCAAAGGGTCAAAAAAATTTAGTGGACCTTATTGTTCAATGATAAGGATTCACAAATTATGCACAGATAGTCAGAAATTAAAAGAAGTTGAGTACATGCTACGCAGATTTAGGTAACCATCTTACCTTGCTTACCCTTTTATACCATGTTGTTTAACTCAAATCTACTAGAGATTGAACAACTTCATATCCTTTGCTTTTGCAGGTCACTTGTTTCTAGGCTTGAAGAAATTAATCCGAGAAATCTAAAACACGAAGAAAAGCTAGCCTTTTGGATTAATGTGCACAATGCCTTAGTAATGCATGTAAAACTTCTAAATCTGTATCCTACTTTTTCTCGGGCAATTTATTTTTCAAAAACTCAACAAACCATTCCTACCATCTTGTTGTCTATCCTCCACAGGCCTTATTAGTTTACGGAATTTCAGCCAACAATGTCAAGAGAATGTCTTCGGTACTTAAAGTAAGTTGATCACTCATAAAACTCAAAGAGTTAACAGAAATGAATTTTTGCTGAAACAAGCTAGTGGATATTTCAGGCTGCATATGATATTGGGGGTCATACTGTAAGTGTGGAAATGATACAGAACTTAATTCTCGGGTGCAGATTGCCACGTCCAGGACAAGTAACTACGAATTCCATAAACTTGTATATCAAATCATGTTGGTCAAACAACTTTCTTGATGCACTTCTGTTTTTTTTTTCCTTCTAGTGGTTACGGCTGTGGTTTCCTTCAAAGACAAAACTAAAGGTCAGAGATGTAAGAAAAGGATATGCTATACATCGTCCAGAACCTTCAGTATTATTTGCTCTTAGCACAGGAACCCATTCCGATCCTGCGGTAGATTTCCGGTCCTTCTGTTATTATTTGTGAATTTGTATTTGTAGAAGGACGTGTATAAACTTTTATTTTGTTGTTCACATCTCTGACCTTGTTTGTAACTTTCTCAGGTACGTTTGTACACGTCCAAGAGAGTCTTGGAGGAGCTACAATCTGCAAAAGAAGAATATATTCAATCCAACATCGTTATAACCAAGGAACATAAAATAATTCTCCCAAAGATAGTTGATTCCTTTGCAAAAAGTGCAGGTCTAGGAGTATCTGACTTGGTGGAGATGGTTAAACTATATCTACCCGAGTCTCAAAGGAAGAGCATTCAAGAGTTTCAATCAAAAACAAGTTGGAAAGGAACTGAATTAACCTCTCATGACTTCACTTTTCATTACCTGCTTTCAAAGGAATTAGCTTGGGAATGACTTGCCTTAATACGATACATGAATTTGCCTGGATGGCTTAAGGAAATCCGTCTGGCTCAAAGCGTAACTGGTGAATAATAAATGTACGCCGTGTATGTATGAAAATATTTAACACAGAATGGCAACATTCAAGGCGAGGGCATGGAGTAGGGTGTGATGTTACAACGGATAGAAAGCAACAATCTGGAAGTTTTGGGAACCTAGCCTGGACTTCATTATTGTTACTGAACTTTGGGAGCTTGGGTTTAAGTATTTTACTATTGCTAAATTGGTTGTCACTTTATGGATGTATATTCTTTGCCTCAATATTTGCTTTGGCCAATTGATCAATCCCGTTCTGCGAAAATACTAAGCTTTTAGTCATATATCATGACAAGATAATAAGGGAGAATCGTGGAAAGGAAAAAAAAAAGCAGCTATTCCTTAAATTTCTCAAACTTCTCTTACTCCTAATATTAACAATCTAGTTAGAACTATGATTTTTTTTGAATATGGAATCAGTACATTTCTATCTAGATTAAAATAAAGAAGCAAGTATAGAGTACTAAATTATTAACTACTGACAAATGTAACAATAAAATGTATCAAAATATATTCAGAAACATGAATTTTTCACAAGCCCTTCAGAAACATGTATAGATGAAGAATTCCTGGCTTGACATTGTGGGTCGTATCTGAAACTTTATACCTGCAGAATGTCTTCCTGTAAACTCTTACAATCAGCAGAAGGCCAGAAGAACAGAAGAAGAGCAAATCAGCAGGAACAACAAAATGATAAAATCAACCAACAAGAATGAAGGAGTTGACCATCTCCTGGATCCTCGATGTGCTTGTAAACAAACCCACCAATAAGAATCAGAGCATGCTCCTATGTTTCCACTTGCATGCTCAAAATCACTCACAGTAGCACCAACTTGCTTAAAGGTGGACACAACTCCTAATTACTGAGTGTTAGTCTTAGTCCTTCATGTTCCATATGTCACCAAATATGAGACATTGTAGATCATATAGACCGAAGCCTTTTTTAACTTGAATTAGTGCCTTCAAAGAACTTCTTATCTAACAGACCTTCACTTTGAAAGGAATAAGGCAGCTTTTCTGTATGTGTCTCCATAAAAGTTTGCATGCCTCCTGATAGCAAAAGTATAACTCATATTGTCAACTTAATATTCTTCGTCGTTGTTTACACCATTTGCCAAGATATCTACAACAATACTATAAAATAATGTATTGGTTTAGTCATTCATTCCTAAAATACCAGTTGCTAATTACACAGAGACTGCAATGGGTCATGAATTGGATATCTATGAGTAAAGGCTTAAATGCTCTATGTATAATAAGGAAGACATGCCAGCTACTTGGCAGTTAATTATCATTGATTCAGTCTCTACATTTAGGTTGGTTTAAAGACATTGGAGTCTCTGCTTCTCAAAACTTCATGAAAAAGTGCAGCCATCCAATCATTTTCATTGTAGTACTAAAACGCCGATGGACACCATATTCAATTGTCTGCTGCAATGGTATCCATAAGCATGTTGCATGGAATGGTGATCATATGATTCCCACTTGGCAAAATAACTTTTGATTTGAAAATGTTTAGCATCATTGGCTAGACGAGTATCAAGATATGTTTACACGAACATTACCCCAAATTTCATGAAATTGCTTCAGTTCTGTCCCTATTCAAACACAACAAAGTTGAATATATTGCATCTGCTTTTGCATGAGATTTATCACCAGAAGTAAATGCATGAATACCATTTTCCACATATATCCAACTGCAACCAGCAATCTTTTTTGCCTCTTTCACTCTCATTTTCTTCCTTATTCTTCCCATCTCATCCCACTTTCCCTCAGTAGCATAGACATTGGCCAATTGCACATACCGAGACCCATTATGAGACTCAACTTTTAACAGTTTCTCTTCTGCCAGGTTGACAAGGGATGTATTATTGTTTATCTGACAAGCATTAAGAAATGCTCCCCAAATTGTTGCATCTATTTGTATGGGAATCGTCCTCATGAATTCTACCGCCTTTTCTAGTTGATTAGCCCTTCCATACATATCAACCATACATGCATAGTGGTATATCTCGGGCAATACATTGTAATCTTCTTGCATAGAAATAAACAAAATCTCTCCTTGTTTTACAAGTCCACGGTGCCGACAAGCAGATAGAAGCGCTACAAAAGTGACTGCATCTGGCCTGACACTTTTCTTTAACATGTCCCGAAAAAGTTGAATAGCTTTATCTTCAAAACCATGATGGGCATAACCAGCTATCATGACATTATATAAGATTGCATCTCTATCCTTATCAGTCATTAGTTGGAAGCTTTTCTCGGCGTACATGATATTACCACATTTTGAGTACATATCAACCATAGCACTCAGCATTTTTTTATCCATATTAAGTCTCATTTTGAAGATGTAAGTATGAATCTGTTTCCCGAAACAAAGAGCGGCTTGTGTTGCACAGGCACCAAGCACAATGACGATGATCATTGCATCAGGAATTAGTGCTTCGGTATTTATAAATTCTCTGAAAAGTTTGAAGACTTCCTTAAATTGTTGTGATTTGGCATAGCCGGAACATAGAGCTGTCCAGACAACATAATTCCTTTCCAATAGAGTATCAAAAAGCCTTTGAGCTTTTGTCATGTTGCCTTGAGATGAATAGCCTACAATCAATGAAGCAACTTCAAATTGGCTTTTAATACCGATTCCTTCATACACCGACTCCGCATACCCAACATTCCCACACTTACAGTATAAGTCTACGATGCCGCTGCTAATGAATTGATTTGTACTGAAGTCATTTTTCAACACCCACGCATGGATACACTTGCCAAGTTTCAAATATTTTAGATCAGAGCAAGCGCTTAATACACTTGCTAAAGTATGTTCATCATACCTAATACCACTTTCAGTCATCTCAACAAACAAGTCAAGTGCTTTATCCATATAGCCATTCTGGCCATATCCTGCAATCAATGTATTCCATGACACAGTATCATTAACCTCAGAATTTTTCCAAAACACATTCAAAGCCATGTCCATTTTTCCTTCCCTACAACAAGCAGCAACCATTGCATTCTTTGAAACCAAGTCCACCACCCCATCACAACCACTAAGCACATTGCACGCGTCAAGAAACAAACCACATTTAGAGTACATGTTAATAAGAGAACTCGACGCAAACTTGCTTAAATCATTTGCAGTTTTCACCATATGTGAATGCATCTGCTTCCCATAACACACTACATGTAGCTTGGAAGTAAGGTTAAGCATGGTTGTGAGAGTGAACTCGTCAATCCCAATTGTGTCACGTGCAGATTGCATTCTATTAAACAAATCAAGTGCCTCGGTCTCGTGTCCATCAGCACCAACATAAGCTGACAACATGGAATTATATGAAACCAAATCTCTATGAGAGGCTGAATCAAAAATGGCTCGTGCTTGTGTCAAGTTGTGTGCTTTTATGTAAGCCATAATAAGGGCATTCCAAGAGTATACATTTCGGTTGGGCATTTCGTCGAACAGTTTGTGGGCATCTTCCAAGAGACCATGGTTATAATAAAGGTGAATTAATTGATTACAAGTGAAAACATTTGATGCAAAACCAGATTTGATTGCTTGAACATGGTCACGGTATACAACTGCATCTCTCACTATTTGAGACCTCATTGCAAGTGCAATACAGGGCAATGGTTATTGCTTTTGAAAAAATAACCAATAGAAACCCGTTTCTTATTAAATTTATTGTTTCAATATTAAATTTAGTATAGAATTAGATTTAAACCCATGCTATATTTTAATGGAAAAAAAGATGAGACGCAGTCAATTAATAACAACCATGTATTTTATCAAATTATATTAAAAAATTTAAATTAATTATATAATATGAAGAATGATATATTATCTAATGTATTTTATCAAATTATATTAAAAAATTTAAATTAGTTATATAATAGGAAGAATGATATATTATCATTAGATGACAGTGTAAAACATTTTTATAATATTAGTGCAAAATAATTAAATCTTAATTTTAATTCCTTTTATTTGAATTTTAAGTTTGTTAAAAAAAATTATTTAGTAATATGGTCAATATATTTATATTATAATAATTTAATATTAATTATATTTGAGATAATGATATAAATTAATTACAAATAAAAAATATATATTTGTTAGTTGAAGGTGACATACAATATTTTATTTTACAAATTTAAATAATTTTAAAAGATATCTTTAACAATTTATTTTTTATTTTAACTCTAATGTATTTTTTATATTTTTCTCTCTTTTAGATATTTAATTCTAAATTCTTAAAAATATGTATTTATTTTTTTGTCTTAAATAAAATTTAGACTTTATTTTTAATTATTATCGAATAAAGCATTCAATAACTTTATAAATTTTTGTGTATAATGTTAAATTTTAGTTATACGTGAAAATTTGAAATTTTTGTTGTTTCTTCTTAATTTATTTGTATGATATTATAAGAAAAACATAGAGAAAATATATATAGATTTGATAAAGAGCGTTGTATTATTTATTATATTTTTAGATGAATCGAGAGTAATTTAATTTAATTTTGAAAATTGTGGAATATATACTCTAACATTAAAAGTATTTTTTTCAAGGGTTTCTTTTGTTGCTGTGATTTTAAGAAAACAAAAAATATTTTAAAATGTGTGAATTTAAACATTTTTTTAATCTGAACAAAAAATATTTTTAATATTATACATATCTGGCATAAAGAGTAATTTGCTCAATATAGGGTAGTTGATCGAAAAGAATTACAAAGTGTTGATCGAAGACAAGATGATAAGAGTTCTTGACTCAATTGGAAGGTTAATCTTGAAGGCTCCTATGCCATAAAATAGAACCTTTAAGATTGAACTTAATATTATGAAGCACAAGTGTCTTACAACTACAACTAGCAAGGATGAATGAATATGGAATTATTTACTAGGTCATCTCAAATTCAAAGACATCAGAGATCTAAAGAGGAGAAACATAGTTTTAGGATTACCAAAAATCGACATTTCAAATGAAGTGTGTGAAGAATGTGTGCAAGCGAATCAACACAAGAATAACTTCAACAAAGATACAAGAAGTAAGTCGAAGGCAATTATTGAAGTAATATACTTTGACGTGTGTGGTCCTATCCAGGTGAATTTGATTGGAGGTAACAAATACTTTGTCACATTCATAGATGATTTCAGTAAAAAATTATGGACTTACCTGATCAAGAAGAAAAGTGAAGTGATCGAGGTATTTTCCAAGTTTAAATCTATGGTCGAAAGACAAAGTGGTCGAAAGCTCAAGATTCTGAGGACTGATGATGGTAGAGAATATGTGTCGAAAGACTTTGACACATTATGTGAGAAATAAGGGATTATGCATGAGGTGTTGTCACCCTAAACTCTACAGCAGAATGGAACTGCAGAAAGGAAGAACATAATCATCATGAATATGGTTAGAAGTATGTTGAAAAGAAAGCATTTGCCCAAAGAAGTATGGGGAGAAGTTGTGTTGACTGCAACATACACACTAAAAATATGTTTGACGAAGAAACTAGAAGGAATCACGCCAAAAGGATGTTGGTCTGGTGTCAAGTCTAACTTGAGTCATCTGAAGGTATTTGGATCTATAGCACATAGACATGTGTCTGATCAGTTGAGAAAAAAACTTGATGATAAGTCAAGTCAAATGATCATAATAGAATATCATTCAAGTGAAGGATGCAAGTTGTTCAACTCAGTGAACAAGCAAATAGTGATCGGTAGAGACGTGATCATAGATGAGCTTAAGGAATGAGATTAGCCTCAAAATGTCAATAAGGATTCAATGAGAATCCTATTCAAAGAATCGGCAAGTAAATTCAAAAGAGAAGTTTGACAAGAAAAAGTCAGAGATCAAGCAAGCATAAACAGGACTCAAAGAACAAGACACATGTCTGCTATGTTACAAGAATGTGTTATTACATAAGAGGAATTGGCTGATGATGAAGGTGAACTAGTATACTATGCTTTTTATTCAGATGTCAAACCAGTCAATGTAGGTGGGGCATTGAAGGATTCAAAGTGGATGAAAGCAACGAATGAGGAACTAAAGTCCATCGAAGTCAACAACACTTGATCACTTGTCGAATTTCCTCAAGGCAAGAAGACAATCGATGTGAAATGGGTATACAAGGTGAAGTCAAATATCAAAGGAGAAGTAACTCGACACAATGCAATACTTGGGGCGAAAGAATTTCTTCAGAAAGAAGGAATCTTCTTTGACGAAGTCTTTGCACCTGTTGCTAGGATCTAAACAATCGGGTTGCTGTTGGTCTAACAAACATGAATGACTCGCATATGTGTCATATGGATATGAAATGTGAATTCCTGAATGGCCCATTAAATGAAGAATTTTATGTTGCATAACCCGTTGAATTTATGAAACACGACCAAGAAAGAAAAGTATGCAGGCTACATAAAGCCCTATATGGACTTAAGCAAGCTCCAAGAGATTGGAATAAGAAAATAGATAGCTTCTTGAGGAAGAAGAAATTTGTGAAGTGAACAATTGAGTATGAAGTATATGTAAGAATAAACAATAGTGAACTTCTTATACTATGTCTCTATATCGATGACTTGTTGATAACAGGTAGTTGTAAGAAAGTGATCAAAGACTTCAAAGTGATCTTAGCGAGGAATTCAAAATGTCTCATCTGGGAGACATTTCATACTTCTTTGGCATCTAATTCTATAAGAGTGGTAGAGGTTTGATGATACATCAAAAAAGATATACAAGTGAGATACTCAAGAGATTTGAGATGGAAATCTGCAATTCGACTTCGACACCTGCTGAACCATGAGGTAACTGTCAAAAGACTCAGAGGAAGATGATGTCTGTAACACCTTAACCTCGATACTTATATAAAAGAATCATATTACAATTAAAGTTCTACCTCGACGAAGTACTTAAACAATTATCCAATTAGCAACAGAACTAATTATAAAAATACTCTTCAAGAAAACATGTTTGTTCTCCAAGTAAAACTAAATCACTGACTTCTCAAGATCATAACAAAAAGCCTCCATAATAATTAAAACAAGTGTTCCCAGCCTCGATGTTACATAATCATAGCATAACCTACTAAGGTAAACAACACAAATTTAAGTGGAAATATACTCCAACGAGCTAATCTTCCACTCACAACAACACCGCCTAATCTTAGTTATCTGCAAGATGTCCATGGTAGGAACATCAATGCAAAAGGGGTGAGAGTTCACATCAATAATATAAATGGCATACACTGCAAGTGGGAACATCAATGCAAAAGGGGTGAGAGTTCACATCAATAATATAAATGGCATACACTGCAAGGTAGAATTACAAGCATCTACATATTCAATCACAAATACACTACATCACCTTACAATAATATTCTCACACCCAAGCAACATTGTACACAATCATAATTACACATACAACTCATTTATGCAGTGCGACTCAACTATGAAACTTGATGCATATGCATGTTGTAGCACCCCAGACTGCTTTCGGGATTACCGACTGACCCCACAAACCAACACGGGTCTTTTCAGCATGCTTTTTCCTCACTCACATGTTTTTTGGGAAACTTCCCAGAAGGTCACCCATCCTTAAATTTCTCCAAGTCAAGCACGCTTAACTATGGAGTTCTTATGAAAGAGGCTACCGAAAAGAAGATGCATCTTTTTGGTATAGGTAGTACAAATTAATCCTTATAAGCCTTCATTCAACCATGTAGTCTCGTACCTACACAGCCTCAGGATCCCTCTTATTCCGATGTGAATTTGGTTTTTCCCCATAAGCTGCTAAGAGTGTTCCATTGCCATGCCTCATGCACCGACAACCACTCCCTCACCCTCGGGTGTTTACATGTAACCACTGTCATCCCTCTACGGCCTCAAGTGTTACACATGTGGTACCAAATCAACATTTGATTCTCTCAGGAACAGGGTCTCCTCTCTGAACCTAGGAGCCCCCTCTCTGAGCTCCAAGCCCCTTCTCTGAGCTTTGGATAAGCCATTAATCCTCTTTTTAAACTAGTAAACATGCCTTTTGACAAAACTCAATGATGCATGGTCATATACATCAATTCACAACAAAAATAAATGTGTTAAAACCCCTCTCTGATCTTAACATATTGCACTGAAAACTCAAGTAATCCCATAGATGGATTACTATACAACAATAATTGACATATGCACAACATAACATAATTTAGGGTAACTCAAGTATACAATCATTCTCCTCAATTAAATTATTATCTTATACATGCAATATCACAATAATCATAATTAACATCTCAAAACATCATGACATCGTCGCACTCGTACTTCATACAACAACATTATTATAATAACATCATCAGCATCAACATAATTCATGCTCATAGAACAACATATCATCATCTCAATTCATTGACAATTAACACAATATCCTCATCAGGTTTGCACATATCCATCATTCATCAAGTAATTCATAATTTCGATCAAAAGCATGTTTAATCATTAAGTCATGCCAAAACATCATTAAACAATAGTTAACAGAGCCTAACAGTACTCAAACTATCCTTAAAAGTTGAAAAATGTGAGATATTGGATCGAACTCTAGTATAGTCGAAGTCTGTTCGCGAGTAA